ACTGATCTCCAGTAGCATATTGGGCATATTAGTTGCATAGTCATTAGTTAGTTGCATAGTCATGTCCAGCTCTTTGCAACCTCACAGACTGGGGCCCACCAAGCTCCTCTTTCCATGGAATTCTCCTGGCAAGAATACTGGAGTGGGTTGCCATTTCCTTCTCTGGGGAATCTTCCTGACCCAGAGATCGAACCCAGGTCTGCTGTGTTGCAGGCAGATTCTTTACCATTTGAGCCACCAGGGAAACCCTAATGGAATATTACCCAGTCATAAAAAGAATGGAATAATGCTATTTATAGCAACATGGATGGAACTAGAGATTATTAAGTGAAGTCAGACAGAGAAAAACAAATATGATATTACTAATTTGCGGAACCTAAAAAAATAATACAATGAACTTATTTACCACAGACATAAAAAACAAACTTATGATTACCAAGGAGGAAAGGGAAGGGGAGGGATAAGTTAGGAGTCTGGAATTAACGTAGCAAGTGAAAGTGAGGTTGCTCAGTCGTGTCCGACTCTTTGCGACCCCATGGACTGCAACCTCCCAGGCTCCTCCGTCCATGGGATTTTCCAGGCAAGAGTACTGGAGTGGGGTGCCATTGCCTTCTCCAATATGCACACTACTGTATATAAAATAAATAAACAAGGTTGCACTGTATAGCACAGGGAACTATACTTAATATTTTCTAATAACTTATAATGTAAAAAAATCTGGAAAAGAACATATATGTATGTGTGTGTGTATATATATATATATATATATATATATATACACGTAAACATATATATATTAACTGAATCACTTTGCTGTACCCCTGAAACTAACACAACATGGTAAATCAACTACACTTCAATTTAAAAAAAGAGGATTGATTGACTCTCACATCCATGTACCAGGGTCATTCATAATTTCTGTTCTTCAGCTTTCCCTGCCATGAAATCTTTAATCCCTGACTTCTTCCTGTTTACTTGCTTCCCAGAACGATCCATTCATCTGCCCTCCCGGGAGTAATGAGTCCTTTCTCATTCACAATCATTCAAACAAGGCTGCAACCTTCCATGCGTTTTCCAGAGAAGCATCTTTTAAATTCATCTTAGAGTATGAGGCCTTTCTCACTGCCATTTATTAGTGTTGACATCTAAGACTGACTGAGCCAGGTGACCTGATTCCTGGTTGCAAACAGAAATAAATCGGAGGGCTCACAGTCCTTTATCTGCCAGGTCTCCTTCCCCAAAACTGTTCTTACCATAGTATCATGAAGTTAAGGGCCCTGGCTCTTCAAAGTTCCTAAATACTTTAAAAAATGTAAATGCTTTATTTTCTCAATTTTAAAAAGGGCATGTAGGGACTTCCCTGGTAGTCCAGTGGTTAAAAAAAGACTTCACCTTCCAACTGAACCAGGGTATGGGTTCAACCCCTGGTCAGGGAGCTAAGATCCTGCATGCTTCGCAGCCAAGAAACCAAAAGCATAAAACACAAGTGATATTGTAACAAATTCAGTAAAGACTTTAAAAATGGTTCCCATCAAAAGAAAAAAAAAAAAAGGAGGGGGGACATGTAAGGGGTCTGGGACTGCCACACTAAAGTGGCTGTTAGGAAGTGAATATTCCAGATTCTTTCTTAGCAACAGGTCTGCAGGAACTTTCTAAACTTGTTATTTGGCTCAGGAGAATGATCATTTCAGCCAACATTTTCTATTTCTTATCTCTACTTTTCTGAAGGCATGAGTTTCAAAAGGCAAGCTGCATGGGATTAGTCATTACCAGTCAGTCAGGCCAGGCTCTCTCCAGGTTGACATCAAGGCTGCACTTTTATGCACCTTTCCTTCCTTAGCCTACATGAGCAGTCTTCAGACAAAACCCAACTAATTGGACTTGACTGGTCTGATGGTTGGATGGCATCATCGACTCAATGGACATGTATTTGAGGAATTTCCAGGAGTTGATGATGGACAGGGAAGCCTGGCGTGCTGTGGTCCATGGGGTCACAAAGAGTCGGACACAACTGAGCAACTGAACTATGTTCTGAACATATCATTACAACAAAAATTCTAATTAAGCAATTTGTTATGAAGAGATAACCAAAAACTGCATTTCAACAAATGGCCTAAAAAGAAAGAAAATGAAAAACTACAGGTGAAAAAACATTTATCATCAATAGTAATCAAAGAATGCATATATGATACTATGGCTTTTTAAATTAGTAAGTATAAAGATAATAATATCCACTACTGGGTAAAGTACAGAAAAGCAGACATTTTCACATACTGCTTTTGAGAACATAGCTTGGTAGAAGTTTTTGAAGAATACTTGCAACATAACAAAAATCTTAAAATATGCTTATCTTTGCCCCAGCAACCTCACGTCAAGGCATTTATCTTAGGATATGACTTTTAAAAATTAAACATTAGGTATAAAGACATTAAGCTATATTTATGATGGTAAAAAATGAGCCAAACAGATTATCCAATAATAGGACACTGGTTAAAACGAACAATGGAATAGTAATATGATAAAAAAAATTATCACTAAAAAACAATACTTGAGGTTACTGATCACTAGTAATGATGTGCTAGCTTGTATCCAACTAACAATTCTACTGAAAATAATAAGAAATTCTATACAATTTAAAAAAAAACTGGTTTTAACTTGCAGCTTTTGGTCTAGTATGTAGGGAGTTCTCACAACAAGAAAAAAGCTGAACAAACTGAAAATCAGTAGCTCTTCATGCATCCATTAGAGAATTGAGGTTACAGGGAACACAGAGTCCCTCAGAATTGGAGAAATAGACAGGTGGTTACAGAGAACTGGAATTTACTGGAGAATTCCAAGAGCAGAAGCCTCCATGGGAACCAGTATTCAGGTAGGAAATTCTGAAATGTAATTGACAAATTGCTGGAGGCTCAGTGTAGACAAGTCAGAGAGATTAAAAACTCCAGGGAAGGGAGGGCCATCCTGGGGTAGTCACCACACTTTTTTAAGTGTTACCTCCTGGAGATCTATCAGGTCCTCCCAAGGGAGATCAGAAGAAAGTTCCCTCCTGTTCCTGGCAGGGAAGGGGGAAAAGTAGTCACACTGAAATACGCCTAGAGCATTCTGTTCTTCATAATAAGGTCAGCTTTCAACAGACTGTCTTTTCAGAATCTAACCACCTGAGATTCTCCCAGAGCCTAACCATCCATGGGAAAGGGAAACACCCAGTTCCAGCCTCTGGTCTTTCACCTGGGAGAAGGGAAATACCCAACTCCATCCTCCCCCCTCTAGCTTTCCTGCTCACCCACATGTTCGTGGTGGAACTAAACTAAAAATCACTTGTAAAGGTGGCAGCCCAGGCGCACACACTCACTAAAAAACTGAGACCTAATTGTAGGATTATAGAACGTTCTCATTCCCCCAACACCTTATACCAGGTCAAGAGGATTCCTACTGACAACAGGGCAATGCAACTGAAAGAACCACACACCTCAGAGCTTATTTAAGAAGAAGCCTCTAGGAAAAGGCAATGAGGGAGACAAAAACAAAGACACCAGAGGAAATCTGATCCTCCAACCCCCACAACTACAGTAAACAATAAACATGACGGAACCCCCAGCCAGCCAATCATAAAAACTCACACTAAAGTACTACTTATCTCAGTTCCTTGAACCCTGTATATGATGTCCAGCCACCTAAAGAAAATTACAAGACATACTCAGAGGTTTAAAAAAAAAACACAGCTTGAAGACACAGAGCAAGCATCAGAACCATAAGCAAACACAACAGGGATCTTGGAAATAGCAGACTGTGAATTTAAAACAACCATGATGAACATGCTAAGGGCTTCAGTGGAAAAAAGTGGACAAGTGCAAGAATGCATGGGTGATATAAGAACAGAAACGGACGATCGGAGAAAGAGTTGTAAGGAAATGCTAGAAATCAGAAACACTGTAATAGAAACAAAGAAGTGAAGGGAAAAGGGTGAAAACAGATGTGGTTACATTAATATCAGAGCAGATGTCAAGCCATGAAATATTATTAGAGATAAAGCTCATTATAGAGTCATTTCATCAAAAAGACAAAACAACTATAAATCATACGCTCCTAATGACAGAGACTCAAAATAAGAATAAAATTGGCAGAACTAAATAGAGAAATAACAAATCCACAATCATGACTGGAGTTTTTAACACCCCTGTCTCAGTAAATTGATAGAAGTAGAGAAACTCAACAAGGATTTAGAAGATTGGAACAATAATACCAAACCAACTTGGTCTTACTGATATTTATAGAATATTATACCAAACAAATTCATAATACACAATCCTTTCAAATGCACACAGAACATTCATCAAGCTAGACCATAAAACAATTTTGAGTACTTAAAATACACAGAATATGTGCTTTAAACACACACTGATCACCGTAAGTTCAAAAATGACAAAAACATAACTTGAAAATCTTCCCACTTATAAATTAAGCAGGACACTCCTAAATAATCCATGAGTCAAAAAAGAAATCACAAATGCCATCAGAAAATATTTATAACTCAATGGTAATAAAAAATAAATCAATTTGTAGGATGGAGCTGAGACAAGGCTTAGAGGGAAACTATAGTTTTAAATGTTTATATTAGAAAATAAAAGTTTAAAAATCAATTATTTTCACTTTAAAAAGTTAAAAGATTAAAAATAAACTTAAGAAAATTTAAAAAGAAGGAAATTAAGAGCAAACGTCAATACAACAAAAAACAAACTATAAAAAAAGAGCCTCTGAGAAACTGTCAGACTCTAGAAAAGCCTAAAAAGATATGACAACTAAATGTCAGTGGTATTCTGGATTGGATCCTGAAACAGAAAATGGATATTAGGTGAAAACTAAGGAAATGTGAATAAATAATGGACATTAGTTAATAATAATAATGTACATGTACTGGTTCATTAGCTATAACAAACATACCCTAGCAGTGTAAGTTGTTAACAACAGAAGAAACTGGGTGTTGTGTATATAGGTATTACCTATTATATCCTTGCAACTTCTCTATTAACCTAAAACTCTCCTTCTCAATTCATTTTATGAAGGCAGCATAAGCCTGATCCTAAAACCTGAAATGGACAGTACAAGAAAAGAAGATTATAAACCAATACTATTTGTGAGATATATATATAAGAAGAATAATAGAAATTGACTATTTAGTGCAGAAATGCAAGACTGGTTCAATGATCAAAAATCAATTTCTCACCACATTGACAAAATAAAGGAGAAAATCATATGATCATCGCAACTGGTCCAGAAAAAGCATTTAACAATCTAACATTCATTCATTAACAAAAACTTAGCAAACTAGAAATAGAAGGAGTTTTCTATTTCTGCTAAAAGGCATCTATGAAAAGCCCACAGCTAACATCATACTTGCTGGTGAAATAGTAAATGCTTCTCTAAAGACTGGAAATAAGTTTGGGATAAATTTTAAAATTCATGAGCTATGTATACTTTTTCAAGTATTTCTATATCCAGAAAAAGTTTCAATGTAACTTAACATTTATTGAATACTTACTAGGTGCAAAGCAGATGCCAGGTGTTGGGAATTCTTTTAATGGTAAAAGTCCATCTGTCAAGGGATTTTAAAACAAATGCAAAAGACAGATACTCAGTAACTAAAATCAATTCAGTATATGTTGGAGGTCAAAAGAAGCAAAAGATAATAAATAGCTCAGGCTTTCAGAATCCAGATTCTATAGGATAGAGAATAACATATTAAGTAATTTAATTTTATAGGCTATGGGACTTTCTCAGCTCCTGTTTTAGGTCTTTGAACAGAAGAATGATATAAAAAAGATTCTATAACCTACATGATCAAAAGCACATTTTGCAAAATATTTCAGTATGTCTGGGGCTCTGTGCTTTAACTAACATTTTACTACAAAGCAATTGATAACCAGAGAGGTGACTGATTTTCTCAAAGCTACAGATCAAATAAATAGGAAGAAAGCATGGGAAATTACAGTGAATATGAAATAGGATATGGACTTCCTTCAGCTTTTATGATGTCTACCATCCCAACTGTTGGTTAGGTATCTTAAAGAGTAGAAAAATGGAAACAGGAGCCTTTTTTGTTTTTGTTTTTGACAGTTCGGTACATCAGAAACATCCAACACTGTTCAGACAATGATAACCAGGGAAGGATGAAATAACTAGAGGAACAGGGGAAAGACTTAAAATTGGCTACATGGAACAGATGGTCTTCTGCACTGCATTCCCACCTTCCTTTTTCTCTTCCCTACACCCACTTGCCCACCATCCAAGTGTGCACATGCTCACACACACTTGCACACACACACACACATGCACAATTTGTGAGTTCCCCACAGATGCCATTAGTACTGACAACTAATCCACTGATACAGAAATCTGTCTTCTTCCCATTTTCAGTGGATAACTGGAAGGCATGAGTATAAGCAGATGTAGAAATTAATAATTATTTGAGTAAAAACAGATGAGATGCTGATAGCAAGCTGATGCTAATGAGCAGTGAGAAAGAAAAGGCTTCCAAGAATCTCATCAGACAGATTCCAGAAGCATGAGACTCCTTGTAAATGGTGAATCCTACCGTCATCAGGAGAGTGGGGTCAGATCAATCTAGGTGACAAAGTACTGATTCTTAACAAGCACACAATTCTTGAAAGATTGTCCCTACCACATTTAATGCAGCAGAGAGAAAGCAAGACAGACTGGAAAAGTTTGGGAGGTCATGCTATGCAGAGGGCAGAATCTTAGTCCCCGAGGAAAACAATCAAAGGATTCTGTATGGTGACACATCCAGCCAATTTGCCTCGAACTGTCCCAATTTTAGTGATGAAAACCCCACGTCCTAGGAAGTCTTTCAGTCCCAGACAAACCAGGACAGCTGGTCATCCTGGCTTGGGAAGGCTCTTTAACCCTAAGAACTGGAGATCAAGGTTTTAGGCGATAGGTCACATGCTGTATGGCCTCAAAGCCCTAGATACTGTCCATCTACACAAGCAGGAAAAGAATAGATGCCACACCCCTCCTCCAGAGCCAACTCCATTACTTGGAGCCCATGCCGTCCAGACTGTTGAGGGTGTGCTATTCAAGGCAGAGAGACAGGCTATGCTCCCCTCACAGTGGTCAAATCTACTGTTTCCTCTCTTTTTTTTTTTGACATTTTATATCGGGGTATAGCTGATTAACAACGTTGTGACAGTTTCAGGTGAACAGCAAAGGGACTCAGCCATACCCAGACATGTATCCATTCTCCCCCAAATTCCCCTCCCATCCAGGCTGCCACGTGACATTGAGCAGAGTTCCTCGTGCCCTACAGCAGGACCTTGTTAGTTTTCCATTTTAATACAGCAGTGTGTACATGTCCATCCCAAACTCTCTGACTATCCCTTCCCTCCCTCCTTCCCCTGCTGAAAATCACAGTCTACTGCTTCCTCTTGATTCACTATGGTAGCCTATCCTCTGAGAAAGAAGTTGCATAAGACTCCTCTCAATGAGCCCCAAACACTATCCAAGATGCTTTTCTCGGGTTCAGCAGACTCCTGAATACAGCTAGGGCTATGTGCTTCGGGGTGATGACAACAGCTGACACCAGCTGGGCACTCACTGCGCTCTACAATCTAGGGCCATGGTTGACAACATGGGCTGCACCCTGCAAAAACCTGTATTAGCTCCCTAGGTCTGCTGTAACAAAGTATGACACTGGACGGCTATAAACGAAAATGCATTCCCTCACAGTTCTGGAGGCTAGAAGTCAAATCCTCGGGGTCTAAGGGTCTGCCCTCTGCATAGACTGACCCCTAAACTTTTCCAATCTGTCTCGCTTTCTCTCTGCTGCATTAAACGTGGTAGGGACAATCATTCAAGTTCTGGAGGCTAGAAGTCACCTGGGACTTCTCTGGTGACACAGTGGATAAGTATCTGCTCACCAAGGCAGGAGACACGGGTTCGATCCCTGGTCTGAGAAGATCCCAGCAAGTCCATGTGCCACAACCACCGAGCCTGTGCTCTAGAGCCCAGGAGCCCCAACCACTGATGTCCACATGCCCTAGAGCCTGAGCTCCGCCACCAGAGAGTAGCGCCCACTCGCCGCAACTAGAGAAAAGCCCATGCAGCAACAAAGATCCAGCACGGCTAAAAGTAAACAAATAGTTATTTTAAAAATGTTTTTCTGGAGGGCTCTGAGTGGGAGCCTGTTCCATGCCCTTCCCCTAGCTCCTGGCGGCTGGAGGTAATCCGTGGCATTCCTCGGCATCTACAGATGCATGACTTCAACTCTACTTCCCTGGTTACGTATGTGGCACTGCTCCTGTGCCTCATCACGTCATTGTGTCTCTGTGGACATATATCTTTGGGCCTCTTCTCTTCTTATAAGCACATCGGTCATATTGGTTTAAGGGCTCACCCTTAACGCCGGTATACCCTCATCTTCACTAATGACATCTGCAGTGAGGCTATTTACAAACACTGTCACATTCTGAGGTTCCGGGAAGAGCACGAATTTGGGAGGGGACACAATTCAACCCAGTACATACTGAAGGACATTTTTATAATCCATTTAGAACAATCCCAGTCCCTGGGAATGCGACCCAGGCATCAGTGTTCTTTAAAGATCTCCAGGTAAATCCACTATGCTACTAAGTTTGAGAACCACTGCTCTGGGGAGGTTATAGGTCCCCCTTTATGTGAGTGTTCAGAAAATCAGGTTGTTTCCTTCACCAAAATCTTTAGCTCCCATCACCTAATCCTTATGGCTGTCTTTTTTTATTTGTAGATGGATGAATAAGCTTACCTTCAAGTCTCATCCCCAAATCACTTAAGAAGTCTGTATCTGATTAAATATGTCTAACTCCAATCACTTCTTTGTTCCATGTTCCCTCAGAACTCCTATATTAAGTTGGAATGATATTAATCTCACTCACTTATGTGTCACCTTTTAAACATTTTAATTTTTTGTGTCCTATCTGCAAGTTTAATCCCAAATTTTCTGTATCTTTGATATTCTCTCCCATGCTATTCATTCCATAAATGCCACTTGTCTTCTCTCTCTCTCTCTCTCTCTCTCTCTCACACACACACACACACACATGCTCTGACACACGCAAGTTACTGCTGGTGCTTCTTAAATGCTGCTGACTGAGAATCCACATTCTGCGAAATACAGTCAGATGAGAACATGTAACCAAATCTCACACGTTACTGTTTTAATGAAGGTAAATTTTGTTGAAAATCATTCATGTGCTTTTTTCTTCTAGATTTCTGAAGATGCAGTCATCACCCTAGAATTGCCCAAGGCCCTGGGAGGCTCCCAGCTACACAAAAGGCAGAATCTTTATCAAAAGAGTAGAAAAAGAATGGCAAGAATAATTTTCATTTCATGGCTTTCAGAAACCAGGCTACACAGCAAACAGTAGGCTTAAGGCCAGGCTTTTGTCTTGAAAGCTGATGTTCCCCATTCCACCCCATCCCCTTAACCCATCCGTGCTCTCACTTTAATTACCAAGAACCAAGGCTGGATGTCACTAACGCATGAAAGACCCACTGTCATTTGGATTCTATGCCCCTCTACCCAGGGCTCAGATGGTAAAGAATTCTGCCTGCCAGAATTTCCCTGGGTCGGGAAGATCCCCTGGAGAAGGGAATGGCAACCCAGTCCAGTGTTCTTGCCTGGAGAATCCCATGGACAGAGGAGCCTGGTGGGCTACAGTCCATGGGGCCACAGATAGTCAGACATGACTGAGCGACTAACACCTTACTTTCACCCAGGCAGGAAAGCCAAGCATGCTACCCCACGGCAGAGGAGACTGTCGTAGAGCAGAGCAGAGTGGACCAAGGATCTATCCCTTTCCAGCCTGGAAGGTGGGAGAAGGGGAGAGCGGGAGGGCAGAGCTGTTTGACGTAGGTCTCACTTCCTTCTCTGAGCTTCGGCACAGAATAAGGAAACCAAGCGGAGTAGGAGGCATGGCCCTGGCTCCCTACATGGATTTCTAGGGAAAAAAAAAAAAAACCAGTCTCAAGCTGCCTGCACCAACCTAGGGCCAGGCCACATGGCCACACGGCAAGGAGGGAGTAAGGTAGGCCCTCCTGATTCACTCTCTCAAGCCACCTCCCCTTCCAGCAGGGCACTGAGGCTGCGCTGACTGACAGGGCCTGTCAAGGGCCTGTGTGTGAGGACCATAGCCAGTGAGGGTCAAACATCAGCCAGGGAACCAGCCCCAGGCCACACCAGCCACATTCAAGGTGTGACACCGGAAGCAGGGGAGCCCAAACAGAGTCAGCGACCTAAGAACACAGCCCTGATAACCAAGGACCCAGCTCCTCCCCTTGCCCATGAGGTCCTAGGAGCCACGGCCCCTTGTCCAGACACTGAATGCCTCCCCTTACACCAGATGCCATTTTTGGGGGGAAGAGAAGCAGGAGGAACATGCAGGCAATCTGAAATTCAAAGCATTTTTTTCCTAGAAAGGCTGAGCATTCCTTGAAGGCTCTGTTTAAATGCTCAAATCAGACATTCACTCAAACCAAATTAGACATTTAGTTATTTTTTTTCCACTGTGGGGTGGGGAGGGAGGGAATCGTGAATTAAAT